AATTCTTTAAAATACTTTGCTATCAAGGTAATCACTTCATTTTTTCATTTCATTACATTTCATTTAGTCTTGTACCCTGAACAAGGCATCATTGCCGAAACGTCGGTGAAGACTCTTAAAATAACAGCCTCGATCATTACAATTTTCAAATTAACATTAAGTAATTACGCTGCGTAGGAATTTTGATCTTTATTAGACATTCACTTTAAAGGCCAACTTCAGACGAGTACATCAGGTCTACCTTGTAAACAAAATCGTTTACTTTTTTTATGTTTCTATTTCGTGATTTCTTACAGGAGGGATTTATTTTTTTCCCTCAAATTTTGTTTCTCGAAAAATCTTGTCGGGAATTTTAAGGGACAACGCATAAACCCTAAAAGTAACACGAAACCAACTGAGAAATTAACTGAGGTCAAAGCGTTTTGGCTTTGAAAGTTAAGACGACAAAGTGAATCGCGATCTTAAAAAAGATCACGTCACGATGCTTTTTATTTTGTAATATACTGTCATACATATTGGAGGCGTCTCCACCTTCTCTACACTTGAAAATAATTTGAGAATATTTGCGAATTTATCCTTAATTCTAAGCATCTTAATTATGGCTAAAAGGAAGAATAGATAGAAATTAAATAGAAAAAGGGAAAAGATAAAGTACACTAAGTTTAAAGGTGCAAGTGTCAGGATTACACTGTTGCTCCTGAATGACATGAATAACTCATGTTTTATTTTCGACTGAAGAAGATGCTTAGGTGGAACTGACTAAAGAAAGAAAAAAAGATTCATTTACAGCTTTCTCGACGATAAGAAGTAGAAATACTTTCGGACATACCGTCCAAGAGTAACGGGCAGACAGCGGCGGGGAATACTACCATATAACTGAGCTTTTAGTAGTAGAGGGTCTGAAAACGGGCTTTAGAGTTTATCCATTATGATCTGAAATCGGGTATGGTTTTCATCAGACTTGAAAGTGATTTTTCTGATTTTTAGTTTTATTTTTATTTTTCGAATATAGAGACTTGACAAAAGACTGCTTTTAATAGGACTGAAATGACTTCAAGCACTAAATATAAGTTTTAGTCTGTTATGATCATGCAGGAGCAAGTTACCAAAGAAAACACACACTCACTTAAATAATTCTTACATCCGGCAAAACTTAGTTTAATGAGCTATAGTTTTGTAACCCATTTCGAACCCTAAATCTGTTTAAACCGGCCGTAGACTGAAATCCAGTCATGTCGCAATCTTGTTTAAAAGAAGAGAACCTTATTCACATACAGAATTGGACAACTTTTAACTGCCATCATGGAATTTAAATCAATTTATTATTATTCTTTTGTTTTGAAAAAAATGCTAGTACCACAAATGGAGACCGCTTATCGCCAATCTTGACACTCTTTTCGACTCTTTTAAAGGCTCCCGGTTTGCAAAGACACCCTGTTCAAGACGCTCTTTACCAGTGAAAATTTAACTGTGATCCCCGACACATCATTTTTGCTTAAAAATGTTAGTCAGTGTTGAGTGCAAATTATTTTTACCTAGTACCTCCTTGTTCCCTTTAATATCAGCTCAGGGTAATTTTTCCTGAAAACATTTATCCTATCGTGGGTAATTCAGGTCAAGTTACTTGAATGTGTATTATTTAACTTTTATATGATGTAATTATTGTAATAATTTATTTAAGCAATAGACCACACTTTCTATGGGTTTACCGGCGTGATAACCCACGCGGGATGTTGGGAGAACACGAGAAAAGCTTGTAAATCACGAGCCGAAGGCGAGTGATTTACAAGCTTTTCGAGTGTTCTCCCAACATCCCAAGTGGGTTATCACGCCGGTAGACCCATAGAAAGTGTGGTCTATTGCTTTTATAAAATAACTTTTAGTAGAACGGAGCCTTTTAGGCAAAAAATGTGGTTTTAGTACCGTGATCAAGTCATGTCTTCTCTCTAAAGTCACCATAAGCCAATCATGATTCACGATTTAAAAGCGCCGAACTTTCTCAAAACTCAGTTCAGTCAAACAACAAACAGCAGCACTTTAAAACACGAGTTTTTGCTCTCATTACATGATAACTTATGAAAGCTGTTTTTCCTGAAAAGCCAACACATATTCATGAGAAGGTACAATGAAGTTTGTTTACTACAGAAGTAGAAAATTGAACATCACGCTGTACGCAGCTGTATTTTGTTGAGTCGATCCGTAAACATTTTGTGCTTACAGACGAAACTGGCAGCTGTTGTAATGGAGGACTTCATTCACTTTTTACAAGCTGCAATGGTTTAAGATCTGTTTTCTGGACTTTATCATGATCAAGAAATGTTGCGGTAACGGCGTGGCTGCATTTGCGAAGTTGTCGCGTGTAACGTATGTATGTACAGCGACCGATGGAAATATGTCAGTGGTAGCTCTAAGTTTGGAGCAGGGGGGGTAAGAGACGAGGTCTGGGACCGAGAAACGATGTTCTCACAACTTGCAAAGCGGTCACCCTGCGTCGTGGTCAGCGGATAATTGCACTTTTTCCCACAGTAAATATTTTTAGACTTTTTAGGAGCAGGAAGCGAACAGGCAGGGGAAATCAGAAATGCTTAAAAAATTGAAAAAAATAATATCATGCATCTTTGTTTTTCTTGCATATCGTATTTGTCTTTCGGTACTGAAATTGCGGGGGAAACTAAAACGCAGCCGTGTTTAATAGATCTTAACCAACAACAACGCGCTTGATCGATTTATAGGTTACATCGTTTTTGCAGGGCAATGATAACTTGATGCTGATAAAAATTACTGGAGAAAGTGTCAAATTTATCGGAAGCAAGTATATTCAGACAGCTTTATCTCTACATATCATAACTGAATAAACATCCACACTTCATAACATTTCACTTCGTTTATTACGATCAGTCAACACCTTGAATCCAACGTTAAAATTCAAAACGATCCTAATAAACAAATCACAACTACTACTGAAAGCTCTGTACCTTAAAGCGACTTTAACTTCCCTAAGGTTTGCAGCAAAACACTGCTCGATAGCTCAACTCTTCGGCGATTCTTATCAGCTATACGGAGTTATGTTGCATATTCCAAACTCTGCGGAGGGAAATTGTTTAACAGAAAAAGAAAACCACACACTATGTCTGAAAAGCGGCATAAAATCAATAAAATTGCGAATTACCAAAATATAATAGTGAGAAACAGTCCCGCCTTCGACCGCCATGTTTTTGTTTCTTCTCAAGACCGTTGATTAATGGTTTTTGACGTAATGCGCATGATCAGTACCCAAATCCGCTGGCAAGAACCTTGCTGATCGCTTTGCAAGTTGTGAGAACATCGTTTGGATTTCATTTAAGAGAATGTATGGGAAGTAGCTTCCCCCCCCCCCTGGTTTGGAGAAAGGTTTCTTTGCCGTAGCCACATATATATTAGCGTTAATATTTGTCGATTTGTCAAGTCAGGTGGTTTGAAGTAGGTTATGGCATCGATATTACCGAACAATTTGTGCAAATGTTGGAAAAAAACCAACGCGAAACTCTGACATCTTTCATCATCGTTTACAGCTTGTTTACAATCTGCAGCGGCCGATTTTGTACGATAACTTGGTCAGATATCTCTTTTCGGAACAATTTTTTTATTCAGGAATTTAATTTTGACATAAAATAAATCAAGAATGCTAAAACTATCCGTTTTGTTGCTGGTTGGCACATGGTTAAGCTTTCCTAAAGACTTTCTACACCAGAAATTCACATAGTTGTTGTCTTTCTCTGCGATTTGGCATCGCCGTGAAATGTAAACTGCTTTCCAGCTTTGCACTTTATAACTTTTAAAGTAGCGAATTGTGATGCTCTGTAATAAAATGTGGAAACCAACACTTTTTAATATTAAGAAGGGCTGGGTAAGTAACTTGTTCTGTTTTTTATTCTTTCTAAAATTGTTGTTTGCAGATCAATAGCCCGTTTTGTTTATGGCTCGTGTTCCGGATGCCTTTGCTATGGGTTTACCGGTATAATAAACCATAGGTTTTTGACCAATCAGATCGCGCGTACTATCTCAGTTATTTTATAATTGTAAATATACTTTGTTTTCCTTTGCAGATCCATTTGGAATTCAAGAACCCTTCCCTACAAACGTTTATCCTATCGAGGGTAATTCAGCTCAAGTTACTTGTGTAGCTTTTGATCCATCAGGATTGAAAACTCCCGAAAGAATACAGTTCATGAGAAAAGATAATTTTGCGCGCTACACAAATATAACAGCTACCGACAACTTTTATTTTGAAGAGAACGTGACTCTGCAGGCAGATCAAGGTGAGTAATTTTACTAATAAAAGTATACATTACTACAATACGCGATCCGCATTAAACATACATCATGGCTGAATTTGGAAAAACTAACTATGGCAAATATTCTATAGGTTTTAAGGGAACAGTAAAATAGAACAACCTTCCCTCAAATATAAGAAACATAATTTCGAACAACATGTTTAAGAATAACGTTAAAGAGTATGTGATTAAGACATAGATTTTATATCAGTTCGTAAAACTGGAAGTCCGCCTTTTTATTAATTTTTAACAGAGCTTACTTGATCTCCTGAGTGTAATTATGCTAATGGTTATGTGTGAGAGTGTAGGGTAAATAAAGGCACTTCTTCTTAAAAAACAAAAACACAGCAAAAAAAAAACCTTAAAAGGCCAAAATGAATTTTTTTGTGGCTTTATTAAGAGAATAATTGCTTATAACTTCAGTGCAAAAGTTCGCCCTAAGAGAACTTTCTTTCAGATATTTCGTTTAGTCAGAAACAAAACTTACGAAATTTGGTGAGAGCGAGATGTGACATGAAACTTTCGGTGAAACGATATTTCACAGGCCTGAAGAGAGCTTTATCGTTGACTTTAAAACTCTTATATGAAAAGAATTAAACAAGCTGATTAGAATTTTTTTAAAAATTTTTTTTTTATATAAATCACAAACAAAACCGTGAACTGCTTCAATTTCAGCTAACCCCAAAATTAACCCTTCCGTTTCTAGGCGGCAAGAGGTTACCGAAGCTATTTGTAACCATGGTTATTCGGAATGTAACACTGAATGATGACAGTACGTATGGTGCACTGGGAAGGTACGAGTGTCATGCTTTTGCAGTTGGTGAACCTTTGGAGAGAAGACATGGATTTAGTGTCAATGTCATCAGAAGTAAGTCATTTACGTGGCTGAGCAGTCGTTCGGTGTTGGCAGCTTAACCTTTGAACGTTTGCCACCCCCGATAGAATTTGTTCCATAATTTCCTAGCAACGATATTAAGTTAGTGCAGTAGCTGTTCATCGGCACAGTTAACTAAATAAACTACGAAAGAAACTTCTTCTTCAAGATATAATAGAGTTGGAGCCTTCCGGCCGCTGAATCCACTGCAAGACGGACTAGCAGATTTATACCCGTGTTAAGGTGGATTTTTACTGTCTCGTAAGTTTTACACGCGTACGCACGGAATTTTTACGCTCGTAATAGAAGAAATGTATGAAGTGCCTTGCGCAAACGTGAAAGATGAGCGAGGTTCAACTTTTATGTTTATTGGCGACCTTTCATATTTTGCCTCAGTTTTACTTACACACGTAAATTTTACACGCGTGGGCACTTAAACATTACCCGACGGTTGGAAATCTACCCTCGTATAGTTTTGGTAAGTAGTGACTGTATTCCTCTGTTGGAGGAGGGTGGGTGAAGCTTCCATGTTACAAGTTTTTTAAATATTTTTCTATCTCTAAATATCAATAGATACCCCGTATTAACTTGGCAGTTAAACCTTTCTTGAAAATGCCACATAAAATTCATAAATTACTTGTTACCAAAACGTGTACCTAGAATGATCTATCTCGCTCATCCCTCTCCCTCTGCGTTTTTTTTAAGTAGCTTGCTGACGTGTACCTTTTGAAAACATACTTTTTGTGCTTGTTAATTTTCTCAACTTCTTTTGGTTTAATTCATTTAATCCATTTTGCCATGGTTTCGCATTAAGAGATTTTTGTTGAATTTTTATCTTTATTAGTGCCTATTTTAACGTCTCTTTTATTTAGAAGACGAGATCCCTTCCGTGTCTGTACCAAACTTCGGAGTGCTGCAACTTGGTGAAAACATTACAATCTTTTGCAATATGACTGAAGGCAAGCAAGCCAGACGTACTAGACTGATTAGGATTTCATGGTATAAGGATGGAGTGTTACAGCAAACTCTGCGAAATCCTGACCCGACTGAGCCGCGGGATACCCTTGGGGCTCTGATACTTGCTAATGATAGAAGTAGAGATGGTGGAAACTACACCTGTCTTCTGGAAGTAGAGCTACGAAATATCAAACTACACATTGTGTCTGATAGTACCATCATTAAAAGTAAGTTTTCATGGTATACTTGAATAGAAAATTTCATCATAGTTAATTTCTAATTAATAATAATAATAATAATAATAATAATAATAATAATAATGTTTATTTCTTATATTGCGCAGTCTAGCATGCGATAAAGATATGATCGAGTGCGCATTACAACACTAAAATCTTAAAGTAATAAATGGCTAGTCCAAATAATGATAATAATAATAATAATTTACAATTTTCGGAAAACAATAAAAGTAAAATATGAGTTAATAAAAGAACTAATAAAAAGCTAATTTAAAAAGATGTGTCTTTAGTAAAACTTTAAAAATGTTCAATGATTGACATTGTCTAATTTCTAGAGGGAGTCGATTCCATACTTTGGGCGCAGCATTTTCAAACGCCCTATCCCCGAGTGTCTTTTTTGTTCTATAGGTATTGTCCATTAGGAGTATGCCCCGGTATGATCTCAACTGATACCGCGAGCTCTCTTTGATTTTTATCAAGTCTAAAAGATATTGTGGTGCGACGCCGTAGATACATTTGTGAACTAGCATTGCTATCTTGAATTCTATTCTGTGGGTAACCGGAAGCCAGTGCAGGTTGATCAGGGATGGTGTGATAGGATCATACCTAGATATAGTACATACCAGCCGAGCTGCCGCGTTCTGCAGGCGTTGCAGCTTACCAAGATGAACAGCGGGCGTACCATATAATAGACCGTTACAATAGTCTAATCGTGACATTATAATAGCCTGTACAATGGACTTCCTATTATCATATGATAAATACTTTCTAATACGCCGGATGTTATGTAGATGGTAATAAATATTCTGACATATGCTGTTAATATGTGTGGTCATATTCATGTTTGCATCAAACCAAGCACCCAGGTTTCTAACAGAGTAAACCGCAGAAACCTTTACCTCACCTACTTGCAAGTCACTTATCATAACCTTATTTAACTGTGCGCGTGTACCTATAATAAGAAACTCGGTCTTAGCATCGTTCAGCCGAAGTTTGTCTTGGACCATCCAGGTTCTTATGTCCCTGATGCAAGCTTGTAGAGCGTCAACAGCATCCGTCTCAGTAGCAGAACCATCCGGCTTAAATGAGATATAGAGCTGCGTATCATCAGCGTATGCGTGAACGTTAGGGAGATGGGATTCAACAACATCGAAGAGCTTACTTGCGTACAACGTGAAGAGCAAGGGACCAAGACATGATCCTTGAGGTACCCCTTGAGGCAGATCAAAGTCACTCGAATAGCTCCCGTTAATCAGGATTCGCTGTTTCCTGTTTGATAAATACGAGTGAAACCATTTAAGAGCGGTACCTGTAATTCCATACGTCACGCACAGGCGATTCAACAACACTTGGTGGTCAATCGTGTCAAATGCTGCACTCAGGTCTAGCAATACCAAAAGAGTAACTCGTTGATTGTCCATTGCAGCTAGTATGTCATTCTGTATCTTCAATAGGGCAGTCTCTGTGCTATGACCAAGTCGATAGGCTGACTGGAGGATGGGATACAAACCCGACTGAGTAACGTGATCGGTTGTCTGATCATAAACTGCCCTTTCAACCAATTTAGAGAGGTATTGCAGATTACTCACAGGTCTTAAATTGGATAAGGAAGTCCCTTGCTTGGTCTTCTTCAGTCTTGGATCCACAAGGGCCGTTTTCCAATCAGATGGAAAGTGTCCCAAGGAAAGTGAAGAATTCACGACATTAGTGATGATGGGGAGAAGCATATCGGACATGCCGACTACTAAATTGGTCGGCATAGGATCAAGTTGACAGCTTTTCTTCGATGATCTACTGACCAGCTTCCTTATATCTTCCACAGAATACGTATTGAAATGATCAAGTTTCCTATCGCCTGTAAACACTTTATCCTCAGCCACCGCCCCAGGATGAAGAGTACGCGCATCAAGCTCTGCCCGAATCTTTGCAATCTTACGGTCGAAAAACCGCCCGATATCGTTGGCTAAGATTGAGTTGTCCGTGTATTCTGGAAAACACAACTCATTCCTAGGAAGTAACAATGATCGAGTGGCCCTGAATAGCTTTCCTTGGTTTTCACTATTGTCGTTCACAAAGTCTGAGTAGGAAGCACGCTTAGCACCGTTGTCACTAGCTGGTTTGTCACACACGAAGTTAGATCCTTCAGTCTCTTTTAGTATGCAAAAATGTGCTAGAACGTCTGTATTATAATTCAATATACTGCAGGCTTAATGTGTCGTAAGTTTACAACGCTAATTTTTCCTTAACGGACACCACTATAAGACGGAAACCTCTTTTAAAACGGACACCTAGAGTTGGTCCGTACCTTTCTTTATTCTCTTTATTTCACTGTATATAAGACAGACGTCACTCTTAAACGGACATTTAGTGCCGATCCCAAAGATGTCTTCTTAGAGAGAGTTGACTGTATTTTTATATCAAGGCATGTGCTCAAAACAAGGGTAAATCTGGCCACGGTTATACGGGCAGGTTTAATGAAATCAAAGCTAACAGAATCACAACACATCGATATACGTAAACCAATTAACCTACTAAATAAAAAAAGGCGACAAAAATCCGCCACAAACTACACAACTAAATAAGAAAATGAAAAAAATAAGAAATAGGAAATACCGCCACAATAATAACCAGCAGGCAAGTGAAAGGGGAGGAGGAGGGAAAGATTTTGCTCGAGATCTGACCGAGTGGATGACGAGGGAGAAAAGGAAGAATTACTGGGTAAATACCTCAGTATTCTTACTTAACCCTGACACCGCCCTTTACCTCGTTGGCAAGATTTGCGCTACCTGGTACTGCCTGACCTAGCGAGTTATCATGTAAGTACCATGCCTTGACATAAATTACATTATGTCTGCCATGATGTCTGGTTTTAGTTCAAGCAGATATCCAGTTGTTGCAAAGCAATGAACTTATCTAACTAACTGTATGCAAAGGTGTAATGTAAACAATCATCTATCTAGCGCGGCCCTCTAAATTGTAGCGTACCTCAAGGGTCCTCTTCTTTCCTTTATGCATATAAATGATCTACCAAATTGTTTGAATATGGGCTCTCCTCAAGGCTCTCCTAGAATGTATGCCGACGACAATTATGTTACCTTTTCTGCAGCTACTATTCCTGATCTTGAGTTCCAAATCAATAGTGACCTGAAATACGTTGATCGTTGGCTCAAAGTCAATAAGTTAAGATTCAATGTCGCCAAAACAGAGTTTATGGTTATTAGCTCGAAGGAGAAACTACAGTCCTTTTAAATGTCCTTTTAAATGACTACACAATGAACATATAGACGGCGCCCTAATAAACCAAAGCAATCAAAGTAAATCTTTCGGGCTTATCATTGATGAAAATCTCTCGTCGAAGGCCCACATTCATGAAATCTCTAAAAAAGTATCCTCTGGTATCGGTGCTCTTAAGCTGGTCAGGCCATTTGTTTCAATGCACACTGCAATCAAAATATACAAAGGTCTTATCGAGCCACACTTCAATTATTGCCGCTTTGTATGGGAAGGCTTGACCCAACAGCTTAGTGAGAAACTTCATAAAACTTCAAAATCGTGCTATCAGAGTTATCACCAAATCTAGCTATGATATTAGTTCCAGATTTCTTCTTAACTCGCTTGGTTGGGACAATTTATCGGTTAGAAAGGCTAAAAAAAAGGCTAATTTAATGTACAAGTTCATTAATAATCTCGCCCCAGCTTATCTCTGTAATTCGTTTGCCCCAAGAACACCGAATTACTATTTTCGCAACGCGAAGAAAAAATTAATGCTCCCAAAACCATTAAATGATTACCTGAAGCGTAGCTTTATTTACAGTGGTGCTTTTCTATGGAACAATCTTCCTGAGGAAATACGTACATCAAATTTAGGTCTCTTTAAAAGAAGTTCCCATAGATGGTTTTCTGATCAGTACTTCCACACGGCAAATATCAATGTAAAACAGTTTTTGAGAATTTTTAATTAATTCTCTGTGTTAGACTGAGTTTTTAACCTTGTATAAAGTTATCATTCATTCATCATTCATTCATTCAACGCCCAAATGAGTGATTATTTCTTACAATTCGTTCCGTTTATTATTTTTTTCTTTCGAAATACGGTGATCGAACACGCCCTAAGTTGAGCGGATTTTGAAGTACTCAAAAATGGTAACTACTATATTTATAACATCTGTGTAGACATGCGTTATTCTTGCTTGCTAACAGTTACGCCGGGGTTTCACAAGCCAATACAAGTTGTTAACGTGACGGTTAAGAAAGGAGATAACGCTTCACTCGAGTGTGCGGCCCAAGGGTTTCCTCTTCATGTTGAATGGAAGGTTCAGAAGGACCGTGAGGACTTCGTACGACCTTGCATAACCAGTAAGATAAAAATATCTTTTCTTGCCATCTATATTTAATTATTTTAGTGGCAAGTGAATACCCTGGGTGAGTTTAAATACAATAATAAAGCACTTCAACAATCATTTCCACCCCTCCCATCCCCGTCTCCCATTGCTATTCCAGTCCGTTGTAAGGTGGTGACTAAATATATGCCTTGATTTGATAATAACGTGTCAAAATCTATTCGATATGCATGACTATAATCTTTTTACCTGCGTGGACAACTTAAGTTTCTAAGATATTAATGTGTATTCCAAAGAGAATCATTAATTCTTACTCATTCATTTTATTTTACGTAAGATGGCTCAGATGGAAAATACCATGTTCATCGCAGCGGCGTACTGAATATAACTGACGTGCGGAACTCTGATCTTGGATCATATTTTTGTTGCCTTCCCTCTAACTGCTCAGATAATGTTCAAGACAACTGCCAGCGATTTGTTCTTCGAGGTAATGGCCATCAGCTTTTATGAAAATTATGCTGGTTAATCACAATCAACGAAGATCCTTTGTCTCCGAGTTAATGCCCAAACTTAATTTGGGAAACCTTGTGCGACAAAAAACCAATTTTTAAATTCTTAATAATAATATAGAACGTCAGTTAAAAGGGAAAACGATGAAAGAGCCTTCCTTCTTTCACCATATTTCTTGAATATTTTAGGACCAGATTCAATTCCAGTTGTAAAAGGATGCGAAGGGAATTCCTTGTTGCCATGGATAATAGCGGTAGCTGTGGAAGGGGTATTGCTTGTTGTGTCGATTGCCGCTGACGTAATGTTGGCAATAAAAGTACGCAAGATGCGGGCCAAAGAAGGTACTGCTTGCCAGAACTAAAGCATAAATACAATAAAAATTTTGTACAGAAATAAATTCGTTGATGAATTCTGCAGAAGATGAATCGGGGGGGGGGGGGGAGGGGGGGGGGTTTTTCGGTTTTAAAAAGGGGGGAAAAAGAAGGGGGAAAAAAAAAAATTCCGGAAAAAAAGGCGAGGTGGTAGGGTGTCGAGAGTTTTTTTAAATACATTTGAACGTAAAGTGTGGCTTGTTTATCTTTTTGTGTGGGATGATAGACAAGAAAAAAAGAAAAAAAACAAATAAAGAAGGAGAGAAATAAAAGCAAAATAACAAAAAAAAAAAAAAAAAAAATAAAATATATTAGAGAAGTGAAAAAAGAGGGGTGGGAGGGGGGGGGGGGGGGGGGGGGGGGGGGGGGGGGGGGGGGAAGCGGGTGGCTTGTCTCGCTTGAAGAACGGTGAACAAGAATGAGGTCAACATAATAATTCCGATAAGAATGCGAGGGCTGATAGTTGTCCGAGTTTTTATTAATACGATTTGACCTAGAATGTGGCTTGCTTATCTCTTTGGATTGGCAACAAAATTGTTAGTTATAATGATGCTTGGCATATATTACAAGAGTATCCAGATTTCCAGATATCATGTATTCCCCTTTCCAAGGTCAACGTATCGGCATATCTCTAGCAAATAGCCCTGAGGCAAATTAACGGGAAACTTAAGTTTAATGGTTAAGTTAATATTGTCTGTTCCGTATCACACGTTTTTGTCTCTATATCTAGATGAAAAAGGTGAAGCTCTACAAAGGTAAGACATGGATTATGTAGTAATTTGATAATAATAGTAATGATGATGATGTTGAAGATAATGATGATGATGACGACGATGATGATGATGATGATGAGGATGAAGATGATGATGATCGTTTCCCAAAAATTCAGTTCCCCTTTTTGCAAGCTTTAAAATAATACTAAGTACTGCGAAAATCTTTCTATAACTATATCTCCTGGTAGTTTTATGCAGGAAGAAGCTAAAAAGCACATTCTCAGATCTTTTGCTAAAAACTACAAATAAATATGAACGTTTTCCCCCAAAAACGTTCCTCGTAAGAGGAACGGCCATGGAAAGGAACGCTTGTTCCTATACTGTATGAAGAGATGTTAGCCTTAAATTTATATCAGCAAACAAGGGTTTACCCAGAGCGAGGTTGATCATGACCTCTGGTGGTTCACCGTTAAATCCGTAGAATCCATCTTTTCCGTGTGGGGAAAAGATCTTTGAAATGGAAAAGAAATGCATTAAGCATTGACTGCTAGTGAAATTCATACACGGTAGAACTCTCTAAAAAGAGTAGCGGAAAATACGGATTTCACGGATTTCCCGGAGACATGAATGCTTAATAAGATAACTTGCAGTCATGACTGACTGCTAAGTGAAAAAGACTCTTTTAAAAGAGCGGAAAATATGGATTTCACGGATTTCACGGAGATATGAATATTTAATATTATTCAATGTTAATTTCATATAATACTTCTCTTCTCTACTGTAAGTATCTTTATACTATTATTAATATAATATAATATATATATATATATATATATATATATAATTGTATTGAGATACTTACAGTAAAGAAGAGAAGTATTATATCAAATAAATTTTTAATCATATTAAATATTCATATCTCCGTGAAATGCGTGAAATCCGTATTTTCCGCTGCTCTTTTAAGAGTCTTTTTCAGTTGGCAGTCAGTCATGACTGCAAGTTATCTTATTAAACATTCATGTCTCCAGGAAATCCGTGAAATCCGTATTTTCCACTACTCTCTTTAAGAGTTTTGGCGTCTATGAATTTCACCAGCAGTCAATGCTTAATGCATTTCTTTTCCTTTCAAAGAACTTTTCACCACACACGGAAAAGATGGATTTTACGGATTTTGTGGAGCCATGCAGCTTCGAGTTCATACTTTTTCATACATTTTCCGTTTTCGTTTTAGACAATTGGTTTTTACAGATTTTCCGGAGACATGAAGCTTCAGTTGAGTTAAGGTTCCACCTTGAGCATTACAAAAACTACTTTATTGAGGTCGCAAACATCTTTCAGTCTCAAAAGGCAAAAGGGAGCCGCTTAAAACCAAGAAAAAGGACTGTTGTTAAACAGCTTGCACTCTTTTAAACAGTTTTACCGTTTATAAAATTCAGCACACACACGGAAAAGATGGATTTTACGGATTTTGTGGAGCCATGCAGCTTGGAGTTCGTACATTTTCATACACTTTCTATTTTCGTTTTAGCCAAAATTTTCATCACACACGGAAAAGATGGTTTTTACACATGCATTTTTGAGTATTACAGAAACTTCTTTTAAAGAAGGTCCGTTGAAAAAAAGCTTGAGAAATACAATCATCTCTTGCATTTCATTACCAAGTTCGCTCCTAAATGGTGACACTAAATGCATCACATCTTTTCGGTCTTTCCTTTGAATCATTGTTTGAGAAAAGGTGCCGGCAGCAACCTGGATTGAATGACAGTTTTGATTGCATTGATTGAGCGTCCCAGAAAACAAGTCAGAGAACAGGTCTAATGATCCTATCATTATTGTACTTCACCGAAAAGGGTCGGTTTTTTTGCTTCGATTTCTCCTGGGAAGCACCATCATAACAGAGCGATTGTATTGTTTGCGTTGAAGTTGCCCTCTAAATTACACAAGAACGTCCTTATTGTCTTGCGCTAGCAACAGCGATTCATACTTTAAAAGAACGTGCAAAAAAAGGAACGCCCTTTCTGACGCTCAGTTGATAGTTACATAATCTTCGACACATCCTCGTCAACATATTTGACTTCAAAACATGACAAACAAACTAATGAATCATCTTTCATAGTTATTCATCAGCACGTCGAAAACAGAGCCAACAAAAGGCTAAACTTTCAAATGTATTCGTCAAAATTTCACAGCGCTTATCCACTATATAAACACCGCACCCACGCCACAACATTTGTGCTACGAACGAAGAATGCAGAGAACAAGACAGCCATGTCGACAGCTCAACAGCGAGGGCATCAAGAGCACGGCCTTGTGCTATCTAACGCCGGTAATAAGTGTAAGGTGTAGTATTATCAGCGCTAAATGTGTTTGTAAAGTAAAGGATAAGGCCTTACCAAAGGCCTGGACAACAGTTTGTGGAAAGCGAGATGTGTGCGATCGTGCAATATCAGGTTAGTATTTTTGCAATACGCCGGTTTCAGATGCGATTTTAAAGAACATTTTAGTGAAAAAGTCTGACGCATTTTTATGTTTCCGATACTGCAGGTATCCACAACGTGGCATTTTTCTTTAGTGCTATAGCCAGCCAAGAGAAAAAAAAAGGCAGTATCAATGAAAACACAGACGAGGAGAGTAGTTCTGAAGATGAGATTCCTAGCTCGTTTTCTCAACAATGGCTCGAAGGCAATTTAACGAACGTAAACAAATCACTCTGCCCTGCGATTGCTTACTGGGTCGCGTTGACGACAGTAAACGGTACGCCCGCCAGCCCAATTTCTGTTCATAAAGCCCTGTTGAATTCAGGACTTGAAGTCACAGCAACACTGGTAATTAAATTATTTTCTTACGTTTTGATAACCCAAGCATTCCCTTAGCCGTGGACAAAGTATTCAGCATCTCTTGGTTCATTTATTTCTTTGCTAACATTTAAGATTTTTTCTCTTCTCGGTTGCTTTGAAAGAAAACCTAAGAACAACGACTGTACTTTTTTTCTTTTGACACTGCCATTATCAACTTGAATTTTTTATTTCGGAATTATTTTTGTCGTAACAGAAGTAATTCTACTGTAATTTGAACTCAGTTTTCAATTGTTTCCGTTTTTTTTTCTAATTGAAAAAGTGCTTGTCCCACGGACAAGTCATGTCAAAGGTTTACATGTGCAAACTGAATTTCTACCTGTCCCGGACAATCGGACATAGGTTTTGGTGCACCCAGAATTCGTTGTTAATAATGGTAATGATGATAATAATGACAATAATAAAAGATACAAGCGGTCAGTCAGTGAAGAATGAGGAAACGTAGAACCGTGTTAGGTAAAATGCTTCAATTTTATATCATTTAGGTGCAGTTTCAAGAGGGAAAAGAATCCCCAGCCACAGCAGAACTTTACAAAGTGTTGAAAGATCACAAAAATCCTTTTATGCAAGACCTCGTTAGCTCGTCCTTCAAACACTGTTACCAAGACGAAGCGCGAAAGGTGATCGGCGATGATGGCTTATGCACCCAGGAGTTGGACGAGTGTGGAACTGAAAATGTGGTGAGAGTGACCCTGGTAAACCCGAAATTTCACACGTCCTTACTGAGTGCAGTCGAACAAGACTGGCGTCGATTCGATGTTAATCTGTTTAAACCGAAACTCAGGTCGTGCTGTTGCAGAGTTCGAAGGTGGTCAGTCGATAGGTACTGCACGCTACTCCTATTCTAGCTGTCGGCGGATAAACTTGCAATCCTCGTTAACGATATAGCGATCGCCATGGGAAAACTGGGCTATGCAAGCTACCGGGGCAAAGTCTACAGGAAGAATGACCAAGCCAGATACACGTATTCGTATAAATGCGAGCCAAGAGCTTTCGTCAACACCCTCGCCACCAACGAGTTCTTCAAGTCAAGACTTCTTCGCAAGATGAAGAGAGTGATCGACCTGTTATCCAATCCATTCTGCGAACTTTTTTCGCCGTTAATAATCAACTACGACCTCATTGAGGTAAAAGATGGCCGCTGTTGGTCCATCAGCCCGCGGGACTTTGTTGAAGATGCCATTGAGGAGCAACAGGTGGGAAAGATCTCGCCGAGAGCATTCTGTTCCTTCGACTCTGCAAGAGATCCTGATCCAAAGTACTTTCGAGAAGTCTTAGAGAACAGCCTAAGCCCGCAGGAGGTGGCGAAGTTCTGTGACGATTTCCTAAAACTGCTTCTCTACAATAAAAAACAGCACAAAGACAAGGTGCCGTGTTTGGTAGGCGACGCCAACAGTGGAAAGACGAGTTTGTTCATGCCCATTCTAGGCCTCATCCATCACGGCAATGTGGCCACGATGACAAAGCAGAAAGCGTTCAATAAATCAATGATAACGCCCTTCACTGAAGTGATATTCATCGACGAAGCCACCGAACGCACGCTTGATATTGACGATTGGAAGATCCTGACTCAGGGTGGGTATGCCGCCCACGACGTGAAATATCAAAGTGCCCGGTCATTCATCAACCGCTGCCCCATGCTGATCACCTCACAAAGAAAGCTTGAGTTCGGTCCCGCCGATCAGCCTGCGATGGAGCGGAGGCTAAGAACCTACACCTTCAGAAGCCTGCCCCGGCCAAAAAAGAAGGCGTCCAACTGGATGAGAACGCATCCCATGGATTGCGTCCTATGGGCAGTGCAAAAGGCAGAAGAGGCTGAGAACGAGGACGAATCGAATCGGAAGACGATAGCGACGAGAGGACACAGGAAGAGGAATCGACCTTTGCCGAAGGTGTGCTGCGCGAAGAAGAGAAGGCAGAGATTAGGTCAATGTCACTGCCGGTGCTTTTGGCCAAAGAGATACCAGCGGTCGACACGTCAGACGAGGAAAATCCAGAGGACGAGAGCGACGGCGATTCAGTTTCGTCTTCATCCTCACAGGCAGATCGTATGGCGCATTTACGAGATCTCCTTGAGAAGACACAGCCGGGTTGCCTGCGCCATAGACAGCTCGCGCAGATGCTGAGGACGGAGGAGCACAAAAAAAGGGAAGAAGAAAGGTCACTAGCGGAACTACGCAGAAAGAGGGAGGACTTCCTTCGCTCCAGGGGTGTATCAAACGCGAACTTGAGCCTGTTACCCGACGACCTCGACGATCCCACTCCCAGTCCAATTGCGAGGGATCTAGAGCAGTATGACCAAGCACGGGTAGCAGCCGAAGAACAGGCTCGTCGAGAGGCTGCCAGAGAAGCGTTTCAGGGAACTTGGTTGAGATCCACCGAGAAGGATTTAAAGCGATGCTGTGAACGGTACCAGGCTAGTGACGACTCGTCTGAGCATTCCATGTTGAAGGCCTACATAAAGCAATTGACAGGCAAACTCAGGGACCATCACGTTTCTCTGGGAACGTTTGGAACTGCCGAGGCTTTGGCGGAACGGAGGAGGGTGTGCACGCTTCTCGGCCTTCTGGACCAGCGCCAACAGTACCTGGTCACGAGTGTAGCGGAGAGACTGCCACTTGCCAATCAGGACGATGACGGTGTTGATGCCGAAGAACAACAAGAAGAAGAAGACCTGAGTATCTTCGTGACACCTGTTCCAAGCTCAAGCACTAGACAGCCGCATCCGAGTGCGCGTTCAGACCGAACCACAACCACGGAAGCCAGTAAGCGCAAGAGTTCCTCCTCAAGCCAGCGAGTTGCGAAAAAACATGGCCAAAGCAACAAAATAAACATGTATTTCTCAAGTCAACAGTAATTTATTTCTCTTACAACAATAATAAAATGTTGCTTGTCATGTACTGAACCATATTGCTGATTTCCTTTGTCGTTATTTATATTTCAAGGATATCTTTTCATTCTGGGGTTAATGTAAAGTTCTAGGATAACTTAGAAAGTGATCCGAATCTTCGCGCTGCACGGCTCAGCAGGGAGTTGGCTGTCCTTCCTTCTTGAAAACGAAATTCTGGATCCCTGAGAATCGCTTTCCATTGACCGTAGCCGTGTCGTTCGATGCCTGCTTTTAGATAATTGTCTTCTTCGGGGGTGAACATCAGACTCTTTTTTCTCGCGGGGAAATCTGTCGCTATAAACGCATTTCCCGCTTTAGTCTCGGGACCCCTGAAAGACACTCGGGTGGTGTTTCTGCGATCGTTTCTCCCTCGTCGTTAGAGGAAGTATCGGTTTTGCTACCGTTTTGATCTTCAGATGACGCAGAATTGCCTGAAAGCCTCGAGCGCACGTCTATTTCTAGCTGATCCCTTTTTCCCGTGTAATCGTTCCAAATATTCATGTGCTTTGCTCGCCACCTCGCGGGATCGCTGCTTCTGATAGTGAACCCTTGCAACAACAGAGCTATGTTTCTGGTCCTCGGAGATTGTGCTCTGCGCGCTGCTGCTCAGCTGCCTGCAACTCGCGGTCTCCACAATCTGTCGATAGCGAGTCGGGTGAACGTATTTGCCCGTTGCATCGAAGACCAGTTTACTCATTAGCTCTCCCAGCTNGTGCGCGTTCAGACCGAACCACAACCACGGAAGCCAGTAAGCGCAAGAGTTCCTCCTCAAGCCAGCGAGTTGCGAAAAAACATGGCCAAAGCAACAAAATAAACATGTATTTCTCAAGTCAACAGTAATTTATTTCTCTTACAACAATAATAAAATGTTGCTTGTCATGTACTGAACCATATTGCTGATTTCCTTTGTCGTTATTTATATTTCAAGGATATCTTTTCATTCTGGGGTTAATGTAAAGTTCTAGGATAACTTAGAAAGTGATCCGAATCTTCGCGCTGCACGGCTCAGCAGGGAGTTGGCTGTCCTTCCTTCTTGAAAACGAAATTCTGGATCCCTGAGAATCGCTTTCCATTGACCGTAGCCGTGTCGTTCGATGCCTGCTTTTAGATAATTGTCTTCTTCGGGGGTGAACATCAGACTCTTTTTTCTCGCGGGGAAATCTGTCGCTATAAACGCATTTCCCGCTTTAGTCTCGGGACCCCTGAAAGACACTCGGGTGGTGTTTCTGCGATCGTTTCTCCCTCGTCGTTAGAGGAAGTATCGGTTTTGCTACCGTTTTGATCTTCAGATGACGCAGAATTGCCTGAAAGCCTCGAGCGCACGTCTATTTCTAGCTGATCCCTTTTTCCCGTGTAATCGTTCCAAATATTCATGTGCTTTGCTCGCCACCTCGCGGGATCGCTGCTTCTGATAGTGAACCCTTGCAACAACAGAGCTATGTTTCTGGTCCTCGGAGATTGTGCTCTGCGCGCTGCTGCTCAGCTGCCTGCAACTCGCGGTCTCCACAATCTGTCGATAGCGAGTCGGGTGAACGTATTTGCCCGTTGCATCGAAGACCAGTTTACTCATTAGCTCTCCCAGCTTGTTGTGCTGCCCTCCATTTCTTGTCACCAATACAAAGTCGCAGGTCGGTCTGAGTAGGGGGCGAATGTGGTTGATGTAGCAATCCAACACTTGCATGCTCGGCTCGGTCAGGTAAAGAGAATCGAAGCCAAATTTTCCAGCCGTTTTGAACATTTTCTGGTCTATAAATCCACCGTTAGTCTTGGCTTTGTTCACCATTTCCACCGTTAAGTACTGATATGTCATGGAGCGCGAGCCCTTGACCTTGATAAATAAATAGACGGCCAAAAATTTGGTAGCAAAAGATAAATCTATTGGCAAAACAGCACCCGGTTTTTCCTTGCATGATTTCAGTACGCTCTCGTAGCGCGGCAAGTAGCGCCCCACGACTTCCAACAGTTCCTCTAGTGTGGCCCAGTGTCCCTTGGCCTCTAAGGCGTCGATGTCGAGCTCGCTGGTCCACTGCAAGCGCATCATTTTGGAAACGGTTTTGCGCACCTTTTTCAAGTAAATTTCTGTTGAAGCCAGTCCCCTCAATACTGATTCCGATGCTCCATTCACTTTTCGATAATCCACCAATTCTGCAATGGCATCCAAGTAGCCTATGCGTCCTGCGTGCCCCAGGTTCCAATCGTCCTGTATCGTATCAACAAACTTGAAAAGCAGATTCGGTGAACGTAAACTAAAGTCCACAATGTCAAATGTGAGCTCTTCTTCATCTTCGCAACAAAATTTGAGAAACTTTAAGCACTTGCTTACGATCTGTTGTACTTGTCGATCACTTTTACAGCCCCCACCACTGCCAGTGTGCCACGAAAAAAAGTTCTTGGCAATTTTGTTCGTAGAATCAAAAGAGGCAATTGCCCTGCTTTTACGCGGCGTAAATTTTTGATCACTGGCTTCACATTTGTCGGTTTCATCGACATTAAGCATATCGATTTGAGCATTGTCTGGCTTCTCGTCGAAGTAATAGTACCAACCGTGTTTGCTCTTTACATGTTTTCTACAGCCTCTTTGCGTAGTGAATCCATCGTGCTCACAAATTTGCACTGGGCAGTGAAAAAGACCATCACAGTCATCCTCTTCTAAGTGAAGTCTCTTTGGTTTAGGCGATGCATTTGCTAACTTTGACCAGTCGACGTCCTTGCCTCATTTGTTCATCTTAAGCATTAGCTTGAAATCGATATCTTTCTAAAGTATGCATGCATTTATACTAGCAAAAGGGTCCCCAAGAGATCATCCTATTCGCCAATGAGATATTTGTTAGCCCATCTCTGCCCACACTTGGTCATTCTTGCCCCTTGTCCCATTGTTTTCTTGTCCGTATTTGGTACACAATTAATCAAAAGGAACAAAGACACGAGCCTGAACTTGCGTGGGCAAGCCCAAACGAGATTAAGCAGCATGCAGCGGGCAAGTCTCGTACTTAACTTGATTGTTGACGAAAACATGTTTTGACAAATTTGTACAGCGGAGGTGATTGACAGTAGTTTCAGATAGCCTACGATAAATAGGAACTATTGTTCCCTATTCCTTTTTACACTTTTCGCAAAATGGAACGCTAGTTCCTTTGTCACAAATTCGGAACCTGTTCCCATTTATGAGCGGAACATAACACTCTTCTTGAGAAACAAAAAACCACCTCGATTACGAACAATTCCGTTCCTGTTGGGCATGAATAGGAACAATTTGAACCGAAAGGGAACAAGGCGTTCCGAAAAGTAGTGGATATGCCAGTAAATAGGAACAATTTGTTCCTTACTGTGTAGAGCGAGAAATTAGATTGGGAACATTTGTTCCCCAATCACTTCGAAAGGAACATGAAGGAAAATCGGAACTGTTGAAAGAGGAACTTTTGTTCCTGAAAGGATAAAAGAGGAACCAGTTGTTCCTTTTGACTATAATGAAAAGGAACTTTGTGTTCCAATTTGCTAACGGACCAGATTGTTCCGAAATTTGCCGACCTTTGTTCCTATTGTGCAAACAAAGTTCCTTTATTGTGCGTTCCTAGGTTGTTCCTAAAGCAATTAAAGGAACAAAAATCAAAAACGCGCGAACACTACGTTTTTGAAAAAGAGATGTTTCCTCGTGTCGCGTCACTTAAAATCAAACTTTGAAAGTTTCCTCATGTAAAAAACGGCCTGACAATACTGAGGACAAAAATGCAATTGAAAACTACGGTGTTTTAACCTGAAATGTTGCTATCATTACTTTTGGGGAATGTATATGAAGAAAAACCTCGCAGTTTGGCTAAAAGATTGCTTGACCTTCTGCTAGTTGTACGATCCCATAAACTGAGTATCACGGAAATTTGCCAAAAAATAGCCAAGGAACAACCTGCCACCCGCACTCCTCTGCACGTCATCTGTTAAATAAAGTAATAAAAATGTTACTTATTTTTTACAAGGAGACGAACATTGTTATATTATTATGCCTCTCCAGCATTCATCATGGGTCTCAAGATACATCAACAACGAATCCTGCACAGACTGTAGCCAGACAGACAGGAAAAGAAGAACACCAAACAATACAGTCTTGCAGCAAAGAAAGTGGCCATGGATATTCCGTCGTGGGTCATCGTAAGATAATGGTAAGTGTCATGGTAGTTATGTCACTGCGCTGGGGTGATGAGGCGTTTGGCGGGTTGTATACTGATGTTTTTTTTTTTGTATCTTTCATTTCTGTTAATGGGATATAGTCCGAAACACTTGAAACAGGTGTGGTATCACGATAACGAATACCTCGAAATTTTCCAAATTTAGTTCGCTACGAATCGTACTCTCAGGTCACGTTTTCTTGCTTACTGAAACACTGTACAAAACTGCATCCCCTGTTGATATCATTGTATTTTTGTTCGGTACGAGTTTTTGTAATAACATCTTAACTGTCTCTGCTCTTTTACATAACCGTTAACTGTCTGATCCAGAATAGAGACCTTTAGATTCCAAGACGAGCACGACTACTGGTACGAGATTTTCTCGATACCATTAAATTATTACTGCTCACGCTTGAACCAGCATCATTTTGGCGGGAAAACGAGATAGCCGTCGTCAACGTCGTCATTCTACAACGAGTTTTTGCGAGAGTTTTGTAGTGGCGGAAATAAATTATCAAATGTTATATTAACTGTCTGATCCAGAATAGTGACCTTTAGGTTCTAAGACGAGCACGACTACGGTTACGAGATTTTCTCGATACCATTAAATTATTACTGCTCACGCTTGAACCAGCATCATTTTGGCGGGAAAACGAGATAGCCGTCGTCAACGTCGTCATTCTACAACGAGTTTTTGCAAGAGTTTTGTAGTGGCGGAAATAAATTATCAAATGTTATATTAACTGTCTGATCCAGAATAGTGACCTTTAGGTTCTAAGACGAGCACGACTACGGTTACGAGATTTTCTCGATACCATCAAATTAGTAGCGCTCACACGTGAACCAGCATCATTTTGGCGGGAAAATGAGATAGCCGTCGTCAACGTCGTCATTCTACAACGAGTTTTTGCGAGAGTTTTGTAGTGGCGGAAATAAATTATCAAATGTTATATTAAAATTTTATCATTTCGTGATTTGTAGAGATCTTAGTTTCCTTCAATAAGGATAACAGTGCTAACTTTTCTGGTGCAAAAAAGGGCAGTGAAGCTTTCCACGATGTCTAAAGGTCTCTAAGGATTGCAGAGGATTGTTTGGACGAATGAATGTTAGGCATGAGGTTGACCTTGTTTTAATACAAACCTCTTCTTTTTTTCTTGTGAAAATTATGCTTAAAAAAATACTAGTTAGCATAAGAACAACGTGATTTACATATTAATTTATAAAATGAATAAGATAGTACGCGCGCTTTGATTGGCCGAGAGGAGTGTTTGCATGAGAGTATGTAAACATGGTTGTGGCGTCAAGATGTTTTGCTTTTCGCGCGCTAATCACGCAAGCACGAATTTGAAAAAGTTTTCGAGTTCAAAACTCGACAAGTTTACTTTATTTACCCATTCCTTCGTCGGCTGAAACTTGGAAGATCGTTACAAAGAAGGTGTTCGTGTCGATTTTTTTTCGCTTAAGCTGATATTATAAGCGAGAAAAGTCCGTATTTTGGAAAGCATCTTTTTGCAAGACAAGAACTGATTACGCGTGCAAGACTTCGTGGACAAGACTTTGCCACTGGTAACAATTTCTCTTTTAATCATTGCCATACAAAGAGTTTTGCGTTTTTTCTCGAAAAAGTTATTTTATAAAAGCAATAGAAAACTTTTTTCCGCATAGATAAACACTCGAAGCGTTGGGAGAATTCTCGACAGTTGTGCAAACTGTCTCGAATTCTCCCAACCCCTCTCGTGTTTATATCAGGCTATGCAAACACGGAAAACGTTCTCTATTGCTTAAATGTAAAACAGGAGGGTTGTATCAAAACATCAGGTCAACTCCAGGGTCGCTTTCACCCGTAACTGTAAAATGGACTATTATGTTGACATCCGATTGCTTATACAAATCATTTGTCTACTTCCTCCTCGATTTCACTGATTATTTTATTTCTCTCATACTTTTAGGCACCAGGCGAAGGTGACCTTCACACGTGTCTGTCGGCATCAGAATCAACCAGCAGTGTTAATGGAGCGTCCAACTTCGGGTCGCTTACATACGTCAACCAACTGCCTTTATACACGTCCACATAAACTGATTTCTTCGGCAAACATATCCAGATTCATAATTGCAAATCTAAAAAATTCGTTTTACTTGAAGATAATGCAATTATGATTTTGTGTATCTACGATTATAGAAAGTAAAAGATTTAAAAAGGCACTAGTAGGAAAAAACAAACAAACAATAACTACGAACTCAGTGAACTCTCTTGTTCACTGACAATTGACCTCTATTCTGCAAATCATGACTATAAATTCATTAAGTATTGCGAACAAAAAAATACACAAGAGAAGGGTTAAATAAATAAATAAAACACTGTTAGTAATAACAGAAACTCATAAGGGGTTGAAACGTGTAACTCTCATATGTTTGCTTTGTCCGATGGTCGTGATTATTCATTTTCAAAAGTATCATATTTGGAACGAGAAGAAGAGACAACTGACCAATCAAACTTCGTAAACAACGTGACGTAAATTTTACTTTAGGTTCCCGCGCCCGCTTGCAAAAAATGGCCGACAACCGGGGGAAAAACTCCCGAAAGCCGGGAAAGCTTTCAGAGGTTGAAACCAGGAATCTCACCGAACTACTGATCAGGATATTATTGTCTTACCACCCGGGCCAAACGAAACATTATGAAACCCATTGACGTCCTCGCAACTTCTTGAAGTTGTCACTTCAAAAAACGATGCCTCGTTGACCCTCTGCACAGTAAACTTATACTGCAAATAGGCTTTTAAAATTCTTACATTACTAGTCTAGAATAAACAGTAAAAAATATTTTCGAATAAAATTCATTAGCTGCGTCATAGTTATTAGAGGAGACTGGTTATGAAAAGCGGCAAACATCAATGATAAAAACAACAGTGCTGCAGTTTATGTTGGAAGCACCCTGAAAGTGCACAATCCTTTGTTTTCTGTTGGCAAATTGTTACTCTTAAAATCAAACTTTGAAAGTTTCCTCATGTAAAAAACGGCCTGACAATACTGAGGACAAAAATGCAATTGAAAACTACGGTGTTTTAACCTGAAATGTTGCTATCATTACTTTTGGGGAATGTATATGAAGAAAAACCTCGCAGTTTGGCTAAAAGATTGCTTGACCTTCTGCTAGTTGTACGATCCCATAAACTGAGTATCACGGAAATTTGCCAAAAAATAGCCAAGGAACAACCTGCCACCCGCACTCCTCTGCACGTCATCTGTTAAATAAAGTAATAAAAATGTTACTTATTTTTTACAAGGAGACGAACATTGTTATATTATTATGCCTCTCCAGCATTCATCATGGGTCTCAAGATACATCAACAACGAATCCTGCACAGACTGTAGCCAGACAGACAGGAAAAGAAGAACACCAAACAATACAGTCTTGCAGCAAAGAAAGTGGCCATGGATATTCCGTCGTGGGTCATCGTAAGATAATGGTAAGTGTCATGGTAGTTATGTCACTGCGCTGGGGTGATGAGGCGTTTGGCGGGTTGTATACTGATGTTTTTTTTTT